GCCCTGATAGGACCCAAGCTCCAGGGCCTATTCCCAGGGGCCTGGGAATTCTCTTCCACACACACCACTGCCAGGGAGGAAACGAGGTGGGGGTCGGGCTGACAAAGTGTCTTTACTGTGTGCCATGGACTTAAGCAGGTATGGGCTTTCCCGGCGGGAATGGGGAGGCTGGGGGAGAGCTGACAGCAGAGCGTCCCTTGGGACCCACGTGTCCTGTCTGCCTGGGTGCTGCTCTCTGCCTTATTTGAAAGCCCCATAAAAGTGTCTGCCTCACAATGTTGCTTTTAGCTTTGACCTTTGTAGTTGTATTGTTTTTAACACAATTCTCTATCTTAAATTCGAGATTATCTTTTGGTCTCCAGAAACAAAGGAGGGAATGGCCAGAGAGGCCAGGGCCTTAAGGCTTGTTGCATGGGTGATCCAGGAGGGGATGGGAGACAGGCAGGGGGCTGGGGCTTGCAGTGAGAGGGGGGTCAAGTCTCCACCAGCAGGGCCACAGGAAGCCAGGAACAGTCCCAAGTTGGATTGGCGCCTCCAGGCCACTCCACTGCCCCCCACCCCTCTGCCATCACTTTCACCATCGAGGGTTTTTTCCTCCAGGGCATACAGAAGACCATTGAGCCAGACCAAAGAGCTGACTACTGTCAACTGTTGCTCCCTGGTGGTCCTGCTGGGGACAGTGAGTTACAGCTGGTGTTTGTGTAAGTAGGGGTAGAGGGGAGGAACATGTGTCAGGGGTCAGTGATCCATCAGCAGCACTGAGGACACTGTCCTATGGCCCCTGAAATCCTATGGAAGCCCAGGTGGCCAGGGTGGAGGGGCTGGAGAGGAAGGGAGAGGAGGAAAGAGGGAGGGCAAAAGAAAAATAAAATGGAAGAAAGAGAGAAAGCCGGGAGGGTAAAGGGGCACCTAACGCTCTGGAGACGACCTGGCAGCATTTAGAGCCAGCCCAGAACTGCTGGCCACAAGGATGCTGGTATGTCTTAGGAAAGGGGGTTCCTTTTCCATCTCATGCAACTCAGGGGTCTGAACCCCATTGATGTGCCTGCCCCTGCCCTCTAAGCAGCTCTCTAGGATCAGTGTCCTGGACCCCAGTTTCAAGGGTTCTCTTCTCTTGAGACAACTGAGTGAGGCCCCCTGACTGCCCCCTAAGTGGGTCGTATGCATCTTGCATAGCTACTGACCTGCTGCAGCCCAGCCTGCACCCAGTCGGGAGGGTTCTGGTCCACAGAGGCCAAGACCGACAGGCAGTGCCCCTCCTGCACCTGTCCCCAGCTGTGAGCTGCAGGATGCGGTCAGGAGAGGAAGCAGGGCCTCGGATCAAGTCATTCTGGGGTTTCCAGAGAGCTTCTCACTGAGGGCATTGACAGGGCACTGTCTGGGTGGCCAAGCATCACCACCCTCTCCTCATCTGGCCACTGGAGCAAGGGGGAGGGGAAGAGAGAGTGGGCAAGATGAGCCTCCTCCTCTGTAGGCCTGAAGGCCTGAGGCCAGAGAAGCAGCAGGACCAGGGCAGCCCCCACCAGGCAGGGAGAGGGCTGGGGAGGGTCCCCTCCACCGAGCATGCGGGAGGGCAGTTCGGGGTGCAGACAGGCAGCTGCCCAGCCACCACGCAGCTGTCAGAAGCTCGGCGACGGAGATCCTACCCTGCTCCCCTTTTCCCTCGTCGGCAAGAACTCGAAAGTTTTTCCCCACTACCTATCCAGTCCCGAGAAATCCCATCTGATGGGGAACGTTTGCCGCCTTCAGCCCAAGTGGGAAAGAGAGGAAACTGCTGTGGGGCTTAGTGGCCTCCCCAAATTGCACCTCCTTCCCTTCCCTCCTTAGGCTGAGCCAGTCCACTCCCAGGGAGGGCTCTGGTTCCTGCTCCTCAAGCCCCAGCTTTAGATGCCTGAGGCTCCCTGTGCAAACTTCAGGCTCTGCGTTCCGAGAGACTCTTCTGAGAGACACGGAGCAGAAACCCAACTACAGCCTAATGGGTGTAGACACATTTTGTTCAACTCCTTTGCATTTTTAATAAATTGATCAAACATGTACTAATCAGACTTTACATACAAATTTAGACTTTCAGTTTCCATTTTTGAAAGTAGAGGTGATGGTATCTGAATACCAGAATTGTTATACCTAACATAGTACATTTCTGTATTTTATCCATCTTGTTCCTTCTGTATTTGAAGTTCTCCAACTGCAGGCGTAGGGCTATGGAATCAGTAGGATTCCCACATCAGATCCCACATCAGTCACTTACTAGTTGTGGGCTTTAACCCAGTTATTTAGCTTCTCTGGGCCTCTGTTTTCTTATCTGTAAATGAAAATAATAGTATTGCAACAAATATCAACCTACAAACTCAGGTTTGCAAGACATGCTGATCACTTTACTCTTTTCAATAATTAGGTTTTGTCCTGTGCTCCAACCTGCTGGGAGGGCAGAAAGTTCCATTTCCTCAAGACTTAGGGGATCCCAGAAAGCAGGGTAAGGTCTGACAGTCTAGTTGCTCCAGCCTGCAGGGGTCTCTTGCAGCCTGGGGGCTCCTGCTTCCTAGACATGTGTGGTGCAGGAATCTGGCAAGGCTGGAAACCGAGGGCTCAAGGTCCCAACTCCTATCCCTGCTGAGGCCTTGTCGTCTCCCGAGGGCACTGCCATGACGACGTGCTGAGGGTCCCAGCTGCTCAGGGCATACACCATTTTCTTTCCCGCTCCCAGTCTGTCTCACCTCTTACTTGGCCCCCCAAGACCCACATCCTTGCCTTTGCTCATCAGGACACCTGGCATTGTCCCAGTAGACTCAGGGCTGGTGCCTGCGGGAAGCTTGTTTCCCATTCAGAGAAAAGGTAGGAATGAGTTGGGGAGGGAGAGAAGGACTACAGTTCAACAAATTACTCTGTCCCATGAGTAATAATAATACTTATCTTTGAAGACACTTTACCCTCTGCCCACCTCTTAAATATTTCCACAGTTGCACACACACACCTCCCCCACTCGCCCCTGGGTCTTTTCTCATTTCGTGCATTCTTCCCTGGTGATCCAGTCCCAGAGCTGCAACTCAGTAGTGGCTCCCAAGCCTTCTCCTCCAACTTTCTTTGGGCTCTAGAGCCCCCAGGCAGACTGTTGGATATCATCATGAATGGCATTATCAGGATGCTGCACATTGTCATGATGACTCAAAGTGGATACACCTCAAAGTAAACTCTCAAGCCAGAAACCTGGGAATCCCCAACTCCTGCCTCGTCCTCGCTGCCCACCTCTTTAGGCGATAAGTTACAGAGTCAGGCCAGGCCTACCTCCTAAATAGTTCCTGACTTACCCCTGCCCCCTTCCCCCACCCC